AAGTTCCGGATACAGGTGAACCATTTTAATGTTTTATATGCATTTTTACTTTACTTTTTCTGTTTATAGTTTAGATTCACAAATACTGACCGCCGTGTTACCACTGCCCACAGTATTCAGCACAGTAACTACTGCAGAGGTCCGTCCCCAGGACAATGCAGGCCTGTAGTAGGCTGTACCACCTAGGTCGGGTAAGTACACTCTGTGTTATTTGCACAATGACGAAATCGGCTAACGATGCATTTCTCAGAATTTCCATCTTCGCTAAGCGACACGTGACTGTACAACGTAAGCAGAGCGCCTGTTAGTATGCTGAGAAATAACTATCCTTTTCATTCTTCAGTGTTGAACGCTGGCGTTTCAAGTGACCAGCACCTCGGCCTGAATACGCCAGCACGGCTCTGCAATGGGCTCACCTCACGCTCTCATTAATAGTGGGAGGTGTCACCTGCTTAGTGACCTGGTTGGTCGGGCCCTGAAACCGGGAGGTGGAAACTCACAGACTCCGACAACTGAAAGGCGGAGAGGCCGGGCACTGCAAATCCGCGAGAACCTGCGCTGTCGCTGCAACCCGGCTCGGCTCGGGAGGCCGGGGCGTCCGCGGCTCGCTCGCCGGCTGCTCCCGGGGCGGGGGCGCCTCCCCGGGCGCTGGGCCTCCCCGAGCTCAGGGCGCCCAGCGGAGGCCGCGTCGCCGCCGCACGTGGCCCGAGCGGCGTCGCGAGAGTACGGCGCCGATAATTGACCAGCCCGCCACCCATGCGGGTCCCCGGGCCCCCAGCGCCAGGCCGCCCGGGCCTGTCGTTGCTGCTGCTGCTGGTGGCGGCGCCGTGGGGACTGGCAGGTAGGTGAGTCGCTCCGCCTGGTGCGCTCTGCGGAACCGCCCGCCGGGTTTCACTTCGGGGCGGAGGGCGAGCCGGGTCTGCGGCGGGAGCCCCGGGGAAACTCGTGCCGGCGCGGGGTCAGGTCCGCGCGGCTCCGCGTTGCACTCTTCCCGCGGCGAGGATCCCGCGCCTCTCCGCGGGGCCCGCAGCTGCGAACTGCGGTTGGCGGCTGTCGAACCCCAGACGGAGAGGGTCTGCTCCGAAGGAAGGGGTCTAGGGAGACGCAGCGCTTCTAAAGGAAGCCCCCTTTCCCGGGCGCGTCATTCTTTCCTTCGCACTTACAGTCATATACAGATAGTGCGCTTTGACTTTTCAGAAGTCACAACATTTTTAATTGATTTATGACGTAAGGTAACCGAAGGGCTGTTTTGTTTTGTACTTTTTAAAGTTTAAACTCTCTACCAATTGGAATCCAGGAAACCAGAATGATACCCTAACCTGATTGATTTTTTTTTTTCTTCTGCATTTCTGGTAAATGAAAAAGATGTTTTTTGTTTGTTTTGTTTTGTTTATAAAGCAAGATATCTGGATCCTTTTGCTTAAAAGTAAAAACCAATAGCAACGTTTCTGGGTACTGCACTTGTGTACAGACTTGGGCTTCTGTATCTGTTGACTGTGCAACAAGAGTGAATGCAAGAGTGAATGTTATCCATGGAGGTGCAGAGTCCTTAGTAGTCAAAGAAAAAGTTATTTAAGTCCAATATGGTTGCAAAGATAAGAAAACTATGCATACAGATCTTGGAGAGATTTCTGAACAATAGATATTGCACACACAAAAACACTTCTAAATCCTAAATTTATCGTAAATTAGAATTATTTTGTCTTTTTAATATTCCGGGGTAAACTGAACGAGAGAATACTCCTGACTTGTGCAAAATGGAACTATCAACTAACAGATATGAATTTTCTTGTTTTCATTTTTAATCAAAGAGAGAAATAAAACTTGCTTCTCAATTGGATGGGGGGGCTGACATTAGAAGGTAGTAATAGTCTCTTACTTCAAAACAAAAATTTGCCAAAAAAAAAAAGGAAGGAAGAAACTTTTCTGACCAAGAGACCTTTCTTAGCTCTTCTTAGGACAGTCCTGTCTCCTCCTGGGTCTCCAGCCACCCTGAGGACCGCTGGAAAAGCACCTTAGAAGCTGTATGTAGTGACCTGGAGACTGCCTGCTCTTAACTGACAGATCATCTGCAATGTCTCTGAAAACGGGCGTTCTCAGAGTTTGTGATTTTGCCATTCTAGGGCAGATGAATGCTTTAATTTTTTTGACTTTTTAAAAATTCAGGTCTCAACTCAGTGGCATCAGGCTGTAATAATACCCACCATCCCAGAGAGAGAGACATCCAATGTGGTATCAACATTTAGGAAAATCTTGAAATCATTTCAGGTAAAATTTATATATTACTTATTTTAGCCAATTCACTCTGTGCTGAGCTAGAGTGCCGTGGGGGTCAGCTAGCTCACTGGTAACCTCAAAGTCCTTGGGCCTCGAGCAATCCTACTGCCTCAGCCTCCGTATAGTGGATACAGGGATTGTGACCACCATGCCCGTTTAATTTTTATATATTTTAGTGGCCAATTACATTCTCTATTTTTTATTAGATGACGGGTCTCGCTCTTGCTTGGGCGGGGTTTTAACTCTGACCTTGAGCGATCCTCCTGCCTGGCTCCCTGAGTGCTAGAATACAGGCGTGAGCCACCATGCCTGGCCCAGGCAAACGTTTTCTTTTTCATATTATGGGGTACAATGTTAGTGATAATAGCCTTGCTTCCCATCGTCCCCTCCCCCCCCCTCGAGTAAGAGCTCAAGCGTATGTCCTCCCCAAATGATTGCCCAATCCACTCATTGTGGTTGATACACTCCTGATACCCTCGCCCCCCCCAACCTCCGACCGGGACCCGAGGTAATGGTTTTTGTCACTTAGGTGTGCATCGTTATATACCATTTGCGGTGATACAGTTGTGGTTTCATCTAAATATCGCTTAGTGAATGATGGCCAGCTGTATCCGATAACAAGAGTGCTATATCATAGTGTTTTTAAAGCTGAGTAGTACTCTTGATGGTATACAGTATACCACATTGTTATTAATCCAGCTAATTCACATTCAAAGCTTATGAACACCCAAGTGCCAGGCAACTTTTTAATGTAAATCAAATGTCTGTGCAGCTCCCAGAGGCAGGTGTGGACACACTGTCCTTCATTCTGCTGAGACTCCAGGTCAGGATTTCTACCAGGAAGATATCCTTTACACCTCTGGCTATTGGCCAGTGTTCCATATCTTATCCTCAGTGAAAGTAAAGAACATGCCAGCATTATATAAACAGATTAAAGTCAAGTAAGAGTAGGATGTGTGACTTCCTGGGGCATGTGTCTCCTCCGCTCAAAGCCTTCAGAGGTGCCCACTTTTCTTAGGAATCATTCTAGTTCTTCTACAAGGTGCTGTGTGCAAACTCCTCCTGTCTCTACAGTTGTTACTCACACCACTCAATCCCTCCTATCCTGGTCTTTCCAGTTCCCTACACAAGCCAAGATATTTTCATCTCAGGGTTCATCTTGCAGTCCCTCCTGCTAGATGTTCCTTCCCAACTCTCTCCCCGCTAACTTCTGCTCAGACCTGGCAATCTTACTACCAACTGCCTCTCTGTGGTGCACTGGGATGTTAGGGAGATCTTTCCTAAATCCCAAGAAGAGGGAAAATGTAGGTTTATATGTCTATGACAAATGACCTGCTTTGGATTTGGAGCTTACTAGTCGTAATATTGTTACACTACAACGCTTATTAGTAATAAATAACTAAAATGAATGTGGTGAGGGTATTTTTGAAATTTCTCTCTTTGATAGAACACAAACAGCATTGTGGTATTTTATTCGCTGATAGTTATTCCAGGATATACTTCACACACACATGCATAATGATTCCTGCAAACTAATTAAACTTTCATAATTATTTTTCTTTTACTATTTTGAAAACTAACTTGAGACTTGAGAAATTATGGGAAAATAGTCCAAAAGTTGCCATATAATCACTCACTTGTTTCCCCAGTAATACTCTTGCTAACCATTGACCAATTTCAGACGATTGACACTGGCTTATAATAACTACTTCACTAAACTATAGACCTTCTCTGGAATTTCACCATTTCCACTAAGCCCTTTTTCTGTTCCAGGATCCACCCAGGATCTCTTTACATAGTTGTCATCATAGTCTCTCCAGTTGGTGACAGTTCTTAGCTTGTCTTTTGCTTTCATGACCCTGACACTTTGAAGAGTTTCTGATCGCCTCTTCCTTAGACTATCTGTCAGTTGTGTTTATTGATGTTTCCCTCATTATGATTTCTTTTGACAGCACTAATAATTTGTGTCTTCTCAGAGTCATTTCAGTTTATTAATCTTCATTTACTGGTGATGTTAACTATTGATCACTTTGGATAAGGTGGATTTTAGGTGTTGATTATATTATTTTCACTTTGTGTTTTATTTGTGGTTTTA